GGTACATTTACACAATGGAATACTAAACAGTGGAAAAAAAGGAGTTTCTACCCTTGCAAGAGCATGGATGTACCTGGAGAGCATTATGCTAAGTGAAATAAACTAGGCATTGAAAGGCAAATACCATGTGATCTCACCTATAAGTGGAACCTAACGAACATAACAAACAAGTCAGCAAAATAGAACCAGAGACATGGAAATAAAGAACAAACTGACAGTCACCAGAGGGGAGGTTGGAGAAGGATAATGGGGGAGAGAAGGGAAAGGGTCAAGTCAAAGAATGTGAATAAAGGGCCCATGGACAAAGAAAATGGGAGGGAGGATTGAATGTGGGAGGTGGGGGTTGGGTAGGGCCGGGGAGAGTAATGGGGGATAAATGGGGACAATTGTAATTGAACAACAATAAAAAAAATTTAAAAAAGGAATTGGTGGGTCTTTAGGATATTTATCATTTATCAAGTAACATATTACTTTCATCAAATAAATGCTTTATTGTCATATAATTCCAAATGATGAACAAAAATTTGTTTATAAGATCTACATCCTTTTCTTGATAATCCAAATAAAATGCATTTGTTATTTCATAAAAAAAAGAAAAGAAAAGAAAAATGTGCCTCTTATTTTATGGGAAAAATTAAATGGACTTTTTGGCTAACCCAATAAATGACCAATGACACCAAGATTAGAAAAACAAGAATTAATTATCTAGGAATGAAGGAAATTAAGGTGAAAAATTTGCTGGTGGCTAATGTTCCATATTCTATTGATAAGAATACTCATGGAAACAGGAAGTGGGATCGGTAGCCTAGGTGCCAGGCCACTCCCAGGTCCAGATGAAGACTGAACTCTGAGTGCCCTTGCCTCAAACCGGTGCAGCTGCCCTTCCTTGTCGTTACCCAGGAAAAATCATAAGACCATGTTGAATATGGAGAAACACCTATTTAACTTGAAGTTTGCTGTCAAAGAGCTTAATAGGAATGCCAAGAAATGTGATAAAGAAGACAAGGCTGAAAAGGCCAAGACTAAAAAGGCTATATTCAGAAAGGCAATACAGAAGCTGCAAGGATACATGCTGAAAATGCAGTTCGCCAGAAGAACCAGGCAATTACTTTCTTGAGAATGAGTGCTAGGGTGGATGCGGTGGCAGCCAGAGTTCAAAGTGCAGTTAAAATGGGCCAGGTAACCAAGTCCATGGCTGGTATGGTTAAGTCTATGGATGCTACATTGAGGAGTATGAACCTTGAGAAGATTTCTGCCCTGATGGATAAATTTGAACACCAGTTTGAAACGCTGGATGTCCAAACAACAAATGGAAGACACAATGAGTAGCACTGCAACCCTAACAACACCACAAAACCAAGTGGATATGCTGCTTCAAGAAATGGCGGATGAAGCTGGCCTTGACCTCAACATGGAACTACCACAGGGTCAGACGGGATCTGTTGGCACTAGTGTTGCTTCCATGGAACAGGATGAACTCTCACAGAGACTTGCTCATCTACGTGATCAAGTATAATTTAAAGAACTGGTGCTTTTGTTTACTTCACCTGCTTCTGTTTCATGTGTGTATATAGATAAGTTGCACTCCAGTTACACTACGAACACTATATGTTACAGAATGCTTGAACACCGTTTATATAGAATGCTTTCTTTTGCCATGCTGCACTTTCCAGTACTTTAAGAAATTCCAGAGAGCTCCCAACTTGACAGATTTTAGAGTTTGTATATTATGTTGAACCAAGCTGGCATTGGTTTTTTGTACATGAAACGTCTTCCTTAAAAATTGCATCAAAAATCTAGCAGCCAAGTACTACAGAAGAAATTATAGAGGAAAGGTCTTGGTTTCTCTTTAATTCAAAGTTGTTTTAAGTCTGTACTCACATGTGATGCATAAAGGTTAAAGCAGGGAAAGCATGTTTGCTTAACATGCTTACATAGCCAAAAACACCTCATTTAGTGTCATACAATGGACAATGTTATTGTTTGTGTTTTATGTCTTGTGTGTGTTTTTGCTGTTCAAGCACAAATCCATTAACTTTTACTTTGGATTCATCAACTTTTAAATTTAGATGATCATCATTGGAATTTTTACCCAGTGATTTAATGACTATTATTTGAATTCCTGAAATTAGAAAAAATTTCATTGATAATTTTTCAATGTAACTAGAAAAGCTGTACAACATTAAATGAAAAAAATTATGGTTTGCTTAGTTTTAAAATTTTTTCTTTGCTAACTATCACTGTTGTTCAGACTTGGTGAAATTTAATCTTTCATACCGTGAAATAAAATTGGAACACATTTGAAAAAAAGAATACTCATAATACTAGAACACTCCTTGCTTTCTTTCAGGTTTATCACTAATTCCTGATTTGATAAGCTAGCTCTGTGTAAAGTGGAACAAAACACCCTTTAAATGGTATCTTATTGCAACTGATGTCTCAAAATTCAGAAAGCAAATTCTATAAAATATCTTAGGAAATGGACTGAATCTAGTAAATCAAGAGTAAAATCTGAGAGAAATTATTTTTTGAATCATAAGCATTTTATTTATTATTTATTAAAATTGAGTATAATTGATATGTAACATTAGATTGGTTTCAGATGATTCAGTGTTGAATCATAATGACATAATGATTCAGTATTCATATATATTGCAAAATATTCACTAAGAGAAACCATTCTGAGGAAAATAGTGACACATTTATTGACTTTGAAAAAATTATAGAGAACAATAGTTGTTACTATACAAAATACCATTTATTGCTTCCCTTTACTTTTTCATGGCCATTTCATCATTTACATAGCTTCAAAACCTCTCTTTTTCCTAGTGAGGTATATTTGGATAAAAAATTGTATTTAACTGAGATCATGCCAGAGATGTCACATTCAAAAATGAATCCTATTGAATTAGGATGAATTTACTATTAGAAAATAAGGACTGCACCTCATACGAGGAAACACTGCCTGCAGAATCCTCCCAGAAGACTTACCTTCTCCGTGCTCTGTGGCTAGTGTAATCTCGGCCTCACTGCTAGTGAGGAATGCTACTCCACACAGACCTAAAACATTGGCAGACTTGGGGATCTCAGGGAAGGAGGAACAGCCCAGTTGTATAGCTACTGCTGGAAAACCTTGGTTGGTAGAGGCAAACTGGATCCCTTTGTTCCTAGACTTGGGAAGACAAATGGATAACCACAATTCAAATACTTCTGTAACACTGATACGATCAAAGTATGACCAGGGGCTTTATGAAGCTTCTGGACAGAAGTTACTTTGGCAAGCAATAGTATCACTTAGCTTTAGTTTTTTTTTAAACCACACAATAAGGAAATCTTTGTTTATTAATCAGCACTTCTTGTGGCTCCTATGTAAATTAAATTGGCCAAATGGAAAAAACCCACCAAGTTAATGATATAAATAAGAAAACTGTAGAAAAAGCCTATATGGTCAACTATTTTTAAGGGGCAGGAGCTGGCCAGATGAAGGGGCAAAGCTAGCATGAATGATACTTACCCTGCTGCCATCTTGACTTAGCACATAATTTATCACAACCATAAAAAAGACAAACAAAACTAATGAAAAACCTCCAAAAACACTTGGCATTTTTTAAACTAAAAAAAAAAGAAAAAAGACAGAAAAACCTACTTTAAGACTAGTCTCTAAATGAAGACCAGAGCACTTCTTGTGAGTTGCTAACAACTTTATTACTGGTCATTGCGATATATCTATAGACTGATGACAACTCTTGAAATATAATTATGTGAGGAACAAAGTACTATACTGGCAACTTTTCATTTTTTTTCTCTCTCAAGACCTGCTCTGTTTTTTGTTTGGAGAGCCCAGTTGTTGTCAGATACAGTATCTCTGGCAAAGTAGTGAAAGTTATAAATTCTTTTCTCAGTGGTTTTGTGTCTGAGTTCTTCCTTCACAATTGGTAATTGTTGAAACTGGGTGAAAGGTACTTCAGGTCCTTTTACTCTTCTCTCCAATTTTGTTTACAGTTGTCCTTTGGCATTTGCAGGGGATTGGTTCCTGGACCCCTAGGGACACCAAAATCCAAGGATGCTCAAGTCCATTATATAAAATGGCATAGTACTTGCATACAACCTATGTGCATCTTCCAATATATTTTAAACCATCTCTAGATTTCTTATAATACCTTATACATTATGAATGCTATGTGAATAATTGTTATACTGTATTGCTAAGGAATAATGATGATAAAAAAAATCTGTATATGTTCACTACAAAGGCTGCAACTGTAGGCCTAACTACTAACCCAGTTTTGCAATCTTCTGTCAATAAATCAATGTTTTCTGGCAAACCATTTAGTTTTTGTGAGTGTCAGTTTCCACATCTTTAATGTGGGGATAATATAATTTCTGGATCAATAAAGCATTTAGCACATGACCTGCCACATAGTAAGTGCTCAGTAAATCAAATAATTCTGCTATCCTATATCAACAATTCTAAGTGCATGTTTTCATATTCTAACATCTCTGAAATTGGGTTGCATCTCATTATGAATGGCAAATCATGGTTAATGGGAAGTTTTTCTTTTTTTAGTGTTATGTACTGAATAAAGTAATGGTGCATACTAGAAATGGATAGCATCTGAAATTCAGTATAATATGGTATCAATCTTGGTAAATCTATATGCCCAAATTCTCTTTTAAGATTATATTGAATATATAACTGATTTAACATTTAAACAATTTCAAAGTATGAGCAAAATATTTCCAAAATATCACAAACAGAACAGTTTTGAGACAAATTATTTTTTGCAAAAAAATGGTTTATCAATTCTTTTTATAAAACCCATGGGAAAAATCCAGCCAATCAACATACAACTGCTGCCACCCAAAAAGCTTTTTTGCAAATCAGACTTCAAATCTAAGAACGTACAAATGTTTCCTTTCCCAGATCTACAGTAATTGTCTGCTTTTCCGTTTAACTGTTTTTAAAATTCCATTTACCCCTGTTATTTCTTCCGTCCCAGTTACAGTTCAATAACGAGGAGGAAGAGGGCAGTTTTGGGCTGTCTCTTTTTTCCATTCAGACACTTGTGGATATGAGGAATCCAACCACCCCCAGCTATGGTGGCCTTGATTAGAGAATCCAACTTTTCATCGACACGGATTGCAAGCTGCAAGTAACACCGAGTGAACATCTTTGCTTTGAGATCCTTGAAAGTACTACCTGCCAGCTCCAGCACCTTGGCAGTGAGGTCCTCCCAACTTGCAGCACTGAACACAGCCGTGGTGGCACTGACCCTTTTGTGGATTCTGTTGTGATTCTTCAAATGTCTGTGGATATGGCCCCTGTAGCCTAGGCCTCTTACCCAAGGGTATGATGCTGCCTTACTCTTGGCCTTTCCACTATCCTCAGCTTTGCCTCTAGCCATGGTATCCACTGCTCCCATCTTCGCTTTTGCTAAGATGCTGCTGCTTCTGCAGCACCAACAGCCAGCGCTGGCATAACTGAAGCCCTTAAACCTCTTAACAACCCTTAAACCTCTATGAATGAAAAATAAAAATATATAGGGCTATACACATTACCAAAGAGATATTGTTAGTGCTTTTATGCATTGACATAGGGCTTAGTCTGATTTTAACTAGATTACAAAATTGCAGGCTACTTTGAGGCAGTGTTCAATTTAGTTTTTTTAAAAACTTTTTATTTATTTATTTATTTATTTATTTATTTATTTATTTATTACCCCTTCCCCCCAGTCATTCGCCCCCACCCCAGCCATCCCCACCAACCACCCTTGATCCTGCCTGCCTTTGGCTTTGTGCATGTGTCCTTTATACATGTTCTTTGATGACCCTCTTCTTTCCCTGTTATCCCCTCCCACCTTCCCTCTGGTTACTGTTGGTTTGTTCTTTATTTCCATGTCTCTGGTTCTATTTTGCTCATTTGTTTGTTTTGTTGATTAGGGTCCACTTATGGATGACACCATATGGTATTTTTCTTTCAAAGCCTGGCTTATTTCACTTAATACTCTCCACAATACCCTCCAGTTCCATCCCTGCTGTTGTGTAGGATAGGGGTTCCTTCTTTCTTTCTGCTGCTTAGTATTCCATTGTGTAAATGTACCACAGTTTTTGATCCACTCATTTACTGATGGGCACTTAGGCTATTTCTAGCACTTAGGCTATTTCTAGCACTTGGCTATTGTAAATTGTGCTGCTATGAACATTGGGGTACATAGGTTCTTATGCATTTGTGGTTCAGAGTTCTTAGGGTATAATCCCAGTAGTGAAATTGCCAGGTCAAAGGCAGTTTCATTTTTAGTTTTCTGAGGAAATTCCATACTGTTTTCCATAGTCTGCATTTCCAACAACAGTGTACTAGGGTTCCCTTTTCTCTACAATCTTGCCAGCACTTGTTTGTTGATTTGCTTATGATAGCCATTCTCACTGGTGTGAAGTGGTATCTCATTGTGGTTTTAATTTGCATCTCTCTGATGGCTAGTGATGCTGAGCATCCTTTCATATGTATCTGGGTGCTCTCTGTATCCTCCTTAGAGAAATGTCTGTTCAGGAAGCAAAACTCTCATTGTTTGCAGATGACATGATAGTGAACATAGAAAATTCTATAGACCTGGCTGGTGAAACTTGGTGGATTGAGCATGGGCCTGTGAACCAAAGCATCACGGTTTGATTCCCAGTCAGGGTGCATGCCTGGGTTGCAGGCCAATTCCCAGCAGGGACGCACAAGAGGCAACCATACATCGATATTTCTCTCCTTCTCTCCTTTCTTTCCCCTCTAAAGATAAATAAATAAAGTGTTTAAAATTTTAAAAATGTGTTTAAAAAAATCCTATAGAGGCTGTGTTCAATTTTAAAGCCCATGCCACCAGCAGATATGACAAATTCTCATGAAGAGAGTGCTGGAGTTAGCTGCCTGGAACCAAGGAAAGTTACCTTTTGTGGTTGTGAAGCTGGTGTTTTTTTGACTCATTAGTTAGGTTAGGTTCCTAGATGTCAAACAGCAATGAAAGGAGCCAGAGTTTCCATATTATTTGCTACACTCAGGGTGAATGTCAAAAATAGACCCAAAAGCTATGGCAACTGAAAAATATTTGTTTTAATCAGTGTTTGGGAAACAAATGCTGGTATTTTGCTTCAGAATTGGCTTCTCCAGCATTAGTATTGACAGATCCAGTTAACAATAAAGCCCTACAGCACTTGCCTTGTTTTTAAAAATCCATATGAACTTACTCTGTAAAACCTTTTGGTACATCTGCATATTTTTATTTCCTGGAGATTCCTTAGGATTTGTTTGGCTCTGGTATCATGATTATTTAAAGTGTTTTCCCTTGAAATATAAAAAGAAGGAACACACTTGTTACATTTAGTCATATATATTTTTAACAAATAATTATTGATCTGTGTACAAAGCATTTTTCTTGGCACTCTGGAAAGGTATAAAAATAAATTTGATTAGTATTGTTCTCTCAACATACTTCAGAACAAGTTATGGTCCAGGCACTGAGCTAGGTGTTAGGAAATCAGAGGTGAACATGCAAAGTTCCTGACTTCATATTGCTGTACATAATCAAGACAGATAAATATAGAGAAGAGAGAAGGCTTAGTGGAGACAATTACCTTGAAGCTGGAGTTATAAAGGGAAAATTAGAGTTAGCCAGACAAAGTAGAGTGGAATAGAAGGTGCCTTTTTAGGGAGCAGGAACTGTAAACACCCTTAGAGTTCCTGGGATAGAAAAGAACTGGTGTCATTTATTTGCAGATCTGGGAACCTGATCCTTCCCAGAGGGTCTCAGAGTGGACTGGACTCAGTCTGGAGATGGAGTCACAGGAATCAAGTTGTGGTGGTCTTACGCATACACTGGACTAGTATTTTGATAATCTAGGAAGTGATGAAATAAATATCATGCAGACCAGAATGCCCATGACCTAAGTATTTTTCTCTCCATTAATAGTTTTATATGAGTGGTTTGTTCATACTTATTATCCTGGCATCAGAATGATTCAGAATGGCATCTGAATCATTAATTGCATGATTCAGAGGTTTCTGGTCTATGATTGCTCATGCATGCATCTCTGGAATATGCATGGAGCTACCATTAGGAATAGATTGGCTAAATTTGAGAGCCTTGTGTCTTTTGATGTTACACATTTGTCACTGTGACTCGTTTTCTGTGATTATGTCTTTTCTGTTTTGTGTGTGTATGTACATGCATGCTGGCCATCCAGGTTATAATAATCATTTCTTTTTTTCATATGTCCAGTTGATGGCCAAGTCTTATTAATTCTGCTTCCTTAATGTCTCTTGAATCTATCTACTTCTTTTGATTCCCTAATTGGGTCATTGACTATAATTTAGGTTTTTGTTTTTGTTTTGAGAGTGCATACATGTTTACCCACCTTTTATGATGCAGGCTTGGTGCAGTGAAACTCAGTGTTGGATCTTCTGAGATGATAGTGCATCTACAAGAAGTGCAGATACAAGACGTGCAGTCTTGGGCCCATGGGAGTATGCATGATCGGTGCAAACACATGGAGCCGATGACACTCTTGAGAGGCTGGTCAAGGAGAATCCTTGATCCCTGAGCACTTTCCCCTGCAAGATCTCATCGTGCATCATCTCACCTCCACCCTTATGTGCCCTTTGGCCTCCCCATCTCTGTTCTTCTGCTCCAGCATAGAAAGAACATACAAGGAGGATATTATAGGAATGGGCACAAGTAGGTTTACAGTTGTTTTTGCAAAAAGACAGGTTATAATTATTACACAAAAGAAAAACTTACAGGAACAAACTGTTTCATATACTCATTGCTGTAAACCTACTTTTGCCCTCCCCTGTGTTCAAGACTATTGCAACAAAGGAGAAAGGCCAGAACTCAGTCTGAGATCACCTTCATGGAAACTAAAGGAAAGGACATTTTTAACTGCTGAGGCGAGGTTGATCTGTGGGAAGGGGTGTGTCCCTCACATTGGGTTGTCCCCAAGTTTGTAATGGTTTTCCTCTGTGTTTGTTATTTAGTACCCATCAAAGTTAGGCTTCCACCCTTCTATGAAGAAATATATCATAGATATATTTCTGTGTCCCTCCCAGCCTGCCTTGGCTGTCACTTCAGGTGTCACCCAAGTAGGATCTGGGTGATGTGGACACCTGTGTTCTTAGAAGCCCTCTTTCCCTCTCCCCTCCAGTGTTAACAAAGAAAATGGTGAGAGTAGCCACAGGCATGGATCCCAAGGTTGCTTCCTCATGCAGGGGTTGCTGGGCCAGGACCCTGCTTCCCAGAGTTTCCCCAATGCTGGGGGAACAGCCATACTGTTCAGTTAGTTCTCTGACAGTTGTGGGGCCTGGCCAAGGAGAAGGGGTCTCTGCCCGAATATGCATTGTTCACAATACCCAAAAAGTGGTAACAACCCAAATATCTATCATTTGGAAAGTAAATAAGCTGTGTGTATATAATGGAATATTATTCAGTAATGAAAAATAAATGAAGTACTGATCCATGCTACAACATGGATGGACCTTGAAAGCCTTATGCTAAGTGAGAGAAACCAGACACTAAAGTCCTCACACTGCATCATTTAATTTATATAAAATGTTCAAAAGAGGCCAATACATAGAAATAGAGGACTTAGGGAAAATGTGATGGTCTCCTAGTGAGTAAGGTATTTAGGGGGTGAGAAGATATAAGGCTGCTCAAATGGATTGTAGTGATGTTGCACAGTTCTGTGAATATACTAAAAAACATTGAACTTCATACCTTAAAATGTGACTGGTATTGTATGTCAGTTATATCTCAATAAAGCTCTTATAATAATGAAAAGGCTGTATTATGTATCATCAAAATACAAAGCAATATCTCAGATGGGAGTGAAGAATCCTACCACTCATTTTAAAAGGTCTGAATCAAGGCCATGGAAACCCAGAGGGTTTAGTTAATGTTCTAGGTACCATGAAATATTGAATTATTCAGGAGGATTTTCATGTTGTAATTAAAAGAATACACCTAAAGTTTAAAATAACATTCACAAGTGTCAGAAAAGAATTGTCATGGCTCAGGGGGAGGGTAATATAGAGAATATATGAAATGGACAATAATTGTAAGAACCCTGATCACATGGATTGACACACTGACTACGAAAACAGGTACAAATTTATTTCTGCATCTCCCCAAAAATGATGTCAGAAATAAAGAGCCCATGCCCTGGCCAATGTGGCTCAAATGATTGGAGCATTGTCCTGTAACCTAAAGTATGCAGGCTCGATTCCGGGACAGGTTATGGCTTCATTCCATGGTCTGGGAGCATAGGGAAGGCAACCGATTGATATTTCTCTCAGACATTGATGTTTCTCTCCCTTCCTCTTTCCCCCTCTCTATAAAAAACAATGAAAAATATGTCCTCAGTTAAAGATGAA